TTCTTTAAATGTTTTTATTCTCTTTTTTAATGCTGAAATTCCAGATTTTAACTGTCAGATTCTTAGGGTCCAAAAAAGAAAAAAAAAAACCCCACAACCAAACCACCAAACAAACCCCAATCCACCAGATTGCCTTTTTAGAAATTTTTTTCTCTGAATTGTGTGCGTGAAGACGCTCACGTATTGTATATTATATATAATATATAATGTTGATCACTTTGGATAATGCAGCAATAAAGTGTTCTTGGAGATAGGTTAAAACATATACCCAAGCCCTGCAGTTCTGCACCCGGAGGTGAAGGGTCCTACTGCATAACTTCAGGAACTGTTTTCAGCAGTGGTCAGCATGTTGCTGTTGAACCCAAGATCTTTTTTTTTTTGAACATTTTGCAAGTTTTCTGAGGTCACGTTTGTGTTGGACGCGTCCGGGGTGCCAGGAGACACCGTCCCAGAGCAGTGTGGAGCAGCATGGGGATGAGCAAACCGGGGTGAAGAACGTGGGCCGTTTTTGCGTGGTGGGACTCCCATGTGCTCCTTTACCATGGTACAAACCCTCCCGGGCCCCCGGCGCGCTGGAGTGTTGAGTCTGGAGACCCTGTGGCCGTGAAGGTGGTTCAGGAGCTCCACACGAGGCCCGGGGTGGCGTGGAAAGAAGGGGGTCCATCTCCTCATGCTTGCTGAGCGCCGGATCCCGCTCCGTGGAGGCCTTCCTGGGCTCGCTGGTTCATCCTGAGCTGCTGTGAACGTCGAAGGAGCCGTTGCTTCTGCAGCCTGCGTATCTATGCACAAACGTCCTGTCTGCCTTCAAAACTGTCCGCTTTGGCTCGTGTCGGTGGCTCCCGTTCCCTGAAAATGACTTCCAAATCCCCCCTGTTTTATTTCTGGTTTCACCAGCACCATAGAAGGAAAAAGGAGGAAAAAAAATAAACCCAACTCCAAGCTGGTGGCAGTTTTTCTGCTGTGTTGCAATATAGGGAGAAACCATTCCGAGTGCCATCATGTTGTTTGATAGTATTTTAAATGATAGATAAAACCAGGCAATCTGAGCTCTTATCTGTCCAGTAGGCGAAAGGCCTCCTGGTAGAAGTGTAGGGCCGTGCTCCTTCCCTTGCACTTGTGGGAAGGATGAAGGAGAGATGATCCAAAAGGTCTTCTCCAACCATAATGATTCTATGATTTGTGTTTTGGAGGGTTCTAAAAGAGAGACATCTGTCCCAGGAGCTGGCCTGGGGCCAGAAGATATTTAGGGGGAAAGAGGTGGATGGAAAAGAGCCCGTGGCCTTGGCTGGAGGTGGAGGAGCAGCAGGGCCGTAGCTTAGGGCAGGTTCTTGCTGCCACCGTGGTGTCCCTTGGGGCTCATAGCACGTGCTCAGAGAGCTGTGGTCGATCCACGGTCTTTTGGCACATCCTATGAGCACGGGAGCATGGAGTTATGTTTAATAAAAGGTAAGAAAACCAAGCTTTTTCTCCATGGAGCCACCACGGGTAAAAAAAAGTGCGTTTTGGGGGCCCACAGCGAGAATGTGTGTCCTGTCCGTACACCAAAGAAGCGAATCCTTCCCGCCGCGGCGCGGAGCACTTTATTCCCGTCCTCCGGAGCCCGTCCAGCCCAAGAGCTGGCGGGATGGACCTCATGCAGCCTTGCAGCAGGCTACAAGCCCTCCAAAAGGAGTAAGGAAAGAGATACATGAGTTATGTGAATGGTTGGGGGAAAGAAAGGCAAACAGTGGCCCTGCTAAAGAGTAATCGTGAGAGAAGCAGCCCCTAAAAATAGGCTTTATGCCTTCAAAACCACCACAGGAGTTGTGAGGTTTATATATATTTATATATATATAAATCTCAGAACATGAGAATGATCTTTTTAATAGGTATTAACCCCATTTTCAGCGGGCTAATTGGGATGGTTTCTTCTCAAGTCCGCATCACCTGCGTTACCTCTGTCCTGCCAACATGATTTGCTGAAGAGTTTCCCTTTGGTTGTGGAGAAACCAGATCGATTCTCATCCTACATGTTGTACTTCTTTTGGTAACTGTAAATATTTGAATATTTATTAGAGTAGGACACCGTGTTATTTTCATCATCTGAGCCAAATATCTGTGTGCAATGCATTTCCTTTCCTTTGTCTCATGTAAGTTTTGTACAGCTTTATAAATAAGTCAGAGTTACTGTTTTTTTCCAAACTTTTTTTTTTAGATTGAACTTGGTAAATACTGTAGATTCTTTTTTTTTTCCTGTGTAATTAATGCACTCTACTGTTCCATAATGCTGTAACTTGTAGAAATGTTGTATATTTATTTTCTGCTTATTTAAGTTCCTGTAAAGGTTTTGTTTCCTTTTGGTTTTCTTCGAAAGTGCCTAAGTCCCGTTTTCCAGTAGCAATTTAGGCATGGAAGAGATTTCTAGCATTACTGAAAGTTAAAGTCTGTATTCTACATGTCCCCTTTCAAAAAACAAATTGTCCTTCATCCTGGCCACTTTCATCTGGACCAGCTTTACCATTGGGTTCAAATGTTCAATATCAAATGTTGTACTGATTAATCACTAACTTGTTTCATAGGACCCAGCGTATGTAGCATTTTTATCGCAATTTCCCTGGCTTACTTGTGTTTTGCACTGATGAATTTTGGACAGGGTAATTGCCACTTTACTTGTGCAATACTGCTGTAAATAATTGCAGATCTTTTTTTTTTTTTTAAGATGCAATCTTTTTATGTTCTTAATATGAGGTTTTATATGAATAAAATTTTCAACTATTACTTGTTGCGCTGAGTTGTCTTCTCTTTCACCGTGGGCTCTAAGTGTGGGGGAAACGTGAACCTTGGCGTTTATTATTATTATTAACCTAGGCCGGACTGCAGCGTGGCCTGGAGCTGAGCTTTTCCCTCATGTATATCTCAAAATAAATCCCCATGGAGCGACGGAGACTCCGTCCTGTGCTCAGGACGCCTCAACATCCATGAGGCGCCGCGGTGTCGCACTCGCCCCGAGGCCCTTCCTGCAAGGCCGTTCTTCATGATCTTCACCCAACCGTACATAAAACAAGTGGGTATCATCCCCCTGCGTCTTCCCATGCCAAATTAATGGGATTTCCCCTCAGTTGCTCTGTTCCAGGCCGCCGGGGATGCAGGCGCAGGTAATTTGGGAATCGTGCGGGGCTTTGGTGCTCCAGGCCTGCGTGTGGGACGCGGCAGGAGCCGTTGGCGGCGGCAGGTCCTGTGGTGGCAGAGGGAGCAGACGCCTCCCGCCGCTAATCGCTACCAGCTGCTCCTGCACGGGAACAGTTTGGGCTTTCTAAGCCCGTCATTTTGTAGTTTATTTACTATTGCCAACGTGCGCGACCCGCGGGCCACGTGCGAGCGATTCAACGTGGCATTGGAACGCCGGGACGTGCTTGGGAATCATCCCCCACGGCCCCTGGCTCGGCGGGTTTAACGGGGAGTTGTGCTGGCCACCGGGCACCGTGTAAACACAGGACGAGAGGCAGAAAAAGAAAGGGAAAAAAAAAATCCCTTCCTGATCTGCAGTGCCAGGAGCACCCGGAAAACCAATGGAAAAGCAGCGCCGTGGGCTCCGGCCGATGCTCCTCCCAGTGATCCCATTGTGCCGAGCATCCCAATGCCCCATCCCGTTTTTCCCGGGATATCGCCTTCCTCAGGATTTGAGCAGGCTGTGGGCGAAAACATGGCAAAACCCGCCCCACCAGCCCCAAATCCCTCAAGCCTTTTCCTGTGTTTTACAGCCAGATACATTTCCCAGTAAGCACCAACAAAAGAGGCAGAGTGGATTGTTTTTAGACGTGTATTTTATACCCACACACTTAACTCCTTTTTCACTTTTATTTCACTGCAGATGGCAGATAACTGATAAGCATCAGCTGTGGTTTGGAATGATGTTCTGTTGCGATCGCTCAAATGAGACTTTTAACATGAAAAGAGTAGATAAGAGGTGGTGGTAAAGATCCATAAATTAGGCAGAATTGTGGGAAGGGAACAATGGATGGCACAGAAGAAAGCCCCTTTTTTTTTAATGCCCAAGGGCATCAGCTCTGGGCAGCCTCTCTCAGCATCACTTGGCTTTCTGGAGGTCTTGGGGTGCCTCTCCCGACCAGAACTGCAGGTTCCTGGTGCCTCCAGCGTTGAAACCATCTCCCCTGGTCCAGACAGGAGCATAGGGGAGTCCCAGCCCGTGTCCCGGTGCCCTTTGGGATCCTGCCCTGGGCCACAGGTGCCTTCTGAAGCACCCAACCCTGCACCCAACGTCCCCTTTGCCCTTTGAGCAACCTCCAAGGCGAGATCCCAGCCGGAGCGCG